CCATAGTTTAAAGCTGACATGCCATATGCTTGATATAAAGTATTCAGAGCTTTCCTGTTCAACCACCACTTATGTCTAGTCAAGAGACCCACAAGTGAACTCTGACTAGTACACAGCTTGTCAATGTGCTTCGTCCATAGCATGTCCTGTGAGAACAAAAGCCCTAAATGAACATGCTCATCAACTTCGGTGAGAAAACTATTATTCAATAATAGAGGAGGAAAGACTGTTCTTTTTAGCTGTCGTGATTTTGTGAAAACTAAAGATTTACATTTATTTATATTGAACTCAAGTAGCCAATTAGCGGACCATTCGGACAAACGGCTAAATCACGATTGAGGGAGTCAGATGAAGCCTTCAGATCTTTCCCACTGCCATACAAGCAAGTATCATCGGCATATAGTTTACATAAATTTTCCAAGTTATCAGAAATATCGTTTATGAATATCAGGAAGAGCAAACGCCCTAAGACTGAACCTTGAGGCACACCACAATTGATTTTTCTCTCACTCGAAGTTTTACCGGAAACCATGGTGACAATTCGTCTTCCTGTAAGATAAGACTCCAACCACTTCAAAACCGAGCCCCCTATCCCATACTTCTCAAGTTTCAAAAGCAAACCCCGATGCCATACGGTATCAAACGCCTTTCGAATGTCCAAGAAAACACCACGTACAAAACCACATTCATCTAAACCCTCATTAATTTTATGGACAATTTCATGAAGTTGATTTATTGTCCCATCACCACAGCGAAAACCAGACTGGTGTCTACTCAATAAATTATTTCGCAGAAAATAATCATACAGTTTATGATGAACTACTCTTTCGCAAACTTTCGAAAGCACTGGAAGGAGGGTGATGGGTCGATAATTCCCTTTCTCGTGAACATCTCCCGATTTGAATAATGCATTAACATGACCTAGTTTCCACATATCAGGGTAGATTCCCATAGACAAGGATTGATTTAAGAGTTTAGTTAGTACAGGTGTTAGTACTTCTACTAGCTCTCGTAGTATTCTATTCCCAATTCCAGGTGGTCCTGCCTTGTGCACATCAAGTTTAGATAAAACCTTAAAAATATCAGACTCACAGATTTCAATACTCTTAAGTTTAGATGCTGTGCGAGACTGAAAGACAGACAATGTTTTCATATTTAGAGTAGGATCAATAGTACAAATAGAAGCGAAATATTCATTGAACAACTTAGCTTTCTCCTTAGGGTCATTAGTCAAATCTCCGTTCGAAGTTCTTAGCGATGATACACAAGGAGGTTTTTTCTTTCCAATCGCTCCACTTGCAAGAGACCACCACCGTTTAGAGGAAGTGTTGACCCGAGAAGAGAGTGAAGAATAAAATTTTTGTTTTTCTCTAACACATGCACTTTCAAAACATTTTTTTTTATCCTTGTACTTTTCAAGATTCTGAAGTGAGTCATCATTTCGGTATTGTTTATAGGCCTTTTTGCATCTGTTCGACATCATACGTAAATAATCATTGAACCACAATTTATCTCTCGTGTTCACCGTAACGGTTTTATGGGGAACCTACAAGTTGATCTGCTCACTGATGATCTCCTCAAACGTTGCCACCCTCTCATCAATCGTATTATAGTTACGCAGAATAGTATCCCAGGGAATAAGTGAGAGATTGTTTCTTATCATATCCCAGTTAGCCGCGTTGTAGTTGTAAATACGCCTCTTAGTAGAAGGGATACAAGGTAATTTTGTGCGAAGACCTAGAGATAACATGCAATGATCACAGTTAGTAACTAAAGGACTTAAAACTTCACAAGAGTCGATTGAATTCAAGGAAGAAGTGATTACTAGATCTAGGCATGTATTTGATACCGGTCTAGTAATCTGATCCACAAGCTGATGAAAATTTTTTTGAGTCACAAAATCATGAATTAAGTTACCCGCGGTGGTCGACGGCTTTGACGGACACTAGGTAGAACAGTGTCCATTAAAGTCACCGACCAAAATGAGGCCGAGTAAATTTTTCCATCGAACAGAAATTTTTCCAAGAACATGCGAAAGATAATCAAGGAAGCCAGTAATAGAATGGTGTTCAGGTCTGTAACACAACGCTAAAACATAATTGTGATATTTTGAGACAGAAGCACTAAGAAAAATAGTCTCATAAATAGCATGCTCATACTCGGGGAGCCTTTTTGCAACAAAATTGCTATTGACGTAAATAATACATCCACCTCCATGCGAGGTTCTATCATTTCTATATAATGTTGAATAACCGTCAATTGCTAAGGTGTTATCCTCATCTAATGGTCCTAGCCATGTCTCAACTCCAGCGATAATATGAGGTTTTTCGGTCAGCGCATAGTGTTTAAGGAAGTCGAGTTTCGTGAGTTTCGGACCAGATGACATTGTTGTGGGAACATCTGCTAATAAACTGCGAAAATTTTGAAAAATGATCTTTCAAATGATCTTTTTTTATTTTACTGTGCACTGTGATTTCAAACTATGCAGATTTTTTGGGAATTTTGAGAATTGTAGTTTTGTGACAACGAATCAGGGGGCCCCGATACATCGAAGGCATGGCGGAAGTCAATTTCGGAGTAAAGTTTTATGCTTTTAAAAGCTAGAGTAAAACTAAAAAGATAAAAATTCTAAGCAGTTTTCTTCTAAAGCAAGACTGAATTTCCTTCTGTCTAACTCTATTTACTTCAACACAAACCCTTATAATATAAAAACACCTTATAAACACCTTATAATATAAAAATACATTTATTGAAGCCATGATACAAACTATTCTATTTATCTTATCTTATTTATGTACATGATAGAAATTCTTTTATTTTCTATCAAACACAGAAAGAGAAAAAACAAATGCTTTACTCTAAAAATGCGACACGACTCTTTCGGGAATTCTGCAACGGCGCAGACACACTTGCAAAGTTGTTTGTGAAGAATATCCCGCCTTGCGGCTACGGTTTCCGATGTAGGGTGCTGCCGAATGGCCATCTCACTAGCCCGATATCTTCCCTGCAGTTGACAAGCTTCTGAGATGGTCATCCATCTCGTTACTAGTCATCAAGTACAGCTTTGGCCTGAGGGCTATCCTGATGCAGAGTTCTTTCACCCAATTATTTGAATATACACACTTTAGTAACCATGTACTACCTTTCTGGAAAGACACGAAGACTAGCCGAAGGAGCTGTGTTGTACGCCCCAACGTAGTGAGTATGCTTTCAGACGGGTGATCCGAGGCACTAAGACAAAAGTAGCTCGGCCAAAGTTATTACATGACTTTGCTAGCGCCGAGGTGAGAACACAGTACCTTTGAAGTACGTGATGAACAACATAACCATCAAGTCATGCTGCCCTAAAAACATGATATTCGTGATCGACACAGTTTACTTTACTACTGACAATATGTTTCGAGACCTCTATGAAAAATGGTCAGTTGATCAAGCTTCACACATTGTTGGTCGAAATATCTTTTTATGTTTTGAGTATATTTTATCTTCTCCAATGTTCCAACAATATTGATATTAAAATGCGATACAAAACAAACTTTTCAAATCTTCTATCACCAAACTACTCACTTTTCAATACATAATCTACTTTTGATAGAATATTCATCAAATCAAAGGAGTAAGATGAGATCGTTGTTTTATTCCCAAGATGTGCAATTTGATTTTATATGTATTTTGCTTGTGTAATGCAATTGAATTCTCGCATGCAATAACATATAAAGTGTGAATCAATTGCATGATGTATAACTCATATAATTTTGAAAAATGAATATTTGTCTGTCGTGTTTTAATATAAAAAACCAATCGTGGAATTATACTTGTTTTTCAACATTATTAAATAGTAATTCAACTTCTTATTACAAAGACTTATACGAAATAGAAATTAAGTTATTTAACTTATCTATTTCTTACCAAATACTATAAGACTTTTAGAGGACCATGAATTAAGAAAACCCATCAACTATTGCATATTTTATACGTGTTATCTCGGAAAATGTTTGCTAGTTTAAATCAGCTGAAACTAAACTAAAAGTGCACAGTCGAGCAACTGTAACTAACTTTAATTATTCCATCTAGCTATTTTAAACTACTAATGTTCTTCTATAGAACGCACTCACGTTCCAGTATAATGAATTTTTCCGCAGGCAACTATGGTACCAATTTCCTCAAACTTCTATGTTCATCTCATTGTATGTTATTCGATAGTTTTTCCTTTTTCCATCACTCTATATACATAAAAGAAGAGAATGTTGCGAAACAAAGACTTTTTCTTCTCTTCCTTTTTTTTTCTTTTTTGTTTCATCAAAGAAAAGGAAACAATTTTTTTTCTTTCTAAGATAGCACACATCTAAAAATTATTGTTATACACATATAAAAACAGTGTATGTAATCCTCACTCAGTTCGAACATGCGTGACAATTGAAAAACTCATATAAAGGAGATATTATAAACTACAACGTTCAAGAGATAAGACAAACACAAAAAAAAAAGAGTGAGTTTATAATTATTCATTTTGAAAAAATTATCACGTTGTATGTATGCGTTCAGTGATATGACTCTAATATACTGTAATAAGAGATAGATTTGTCGTATAAGTGGATAGATAAACTTTGACTAGAAATGTATGGGACTAAGTCTTTATTTTTGTCTTGTGTCTCCTTTCATCTTATTAATATTCTGTAGAACAAAATGTTGTTCCAAAAAAATTCATATTTTCTCAGTGCGATGATACAAAAAGATTTTCATCCAGCTTCTAATACCATTTTTCTAATTTGCCATTTTATGAGTTCATTTGAACTCGAATGATAATAAATTGTATGAAGGACTAGAGAAAAAGATTATAAAAATATTTAGGATTGCCTCCTCGTACATCTTTAACTAAATTTGTTTCTTCATTAGGAAAAAAGTCTTTGCTTTCGTTTTTTTAGAAATTTCATTCATCAATTATGAATTTGATTTCTCCATTTTATTACGAGAAAACACGAGGTATCTGTAGTCGAAAGTTATTACGACAATTTGGAGAAGAGAGACAAACAAAAATTTCATTATATCCATATGAAGGATGGGGAAAACCTGTACTACAATGTCATTGGACAATTAAAACATTATGGTGGAGTAAAACCCGTTGTATTATTATCGAACAAAATGGGCATCGAAAAAATGTTACTAAGTAAGTTGTTTAACAATAGATGTTCAAAATATTTCCTTAGTCAGTTTCAACAGATTTTATAAAAATCTTCTATAAGCTTCTCTGAGTAAGTTTATCAGGTTTTGGTAAAAACTTTTATTAGGATTTCATAAGAGTCTTATAAGATTTTCATGATATTTCTATAAAATTTTTTGTATCTAAGATCCAATCTCTAGGGGTATTATTATTATTATTATTATTATTATTATTCGAGTTGCTTATCTGTCATTTTTGTTCTTTCTATTTGATTGCCTAAAATCACAGAAGTCTTTTTTTTCTCCAGCACAAGACTTGAATGTTTGTGATTTTTTCACACTATAATTTCATTTTTGTCTCAATTGCTTTATGAAAAATGGGGAATAGATTTTCTAGCTCTTTCTTTTTCTCATTTAATTTTGTTACAATACTATTTTTAAACATTTAGTATAAGCCGTTGCATTCGCTAAACTTACACATTTTCCAGTATTGTACGAGACAAGATGATAAAAATAATTTTTATTCCAAGATAACTAGCATGCTACTTTCAAGTAAAAATCTATAAATTGATTCTGCATGTCCTTAGCCATAGTTTTTTTAACACGAGTGATATCCTTAGCCATAGTTTTTTTAACACGAGTGATATCCTTGCTCTTATGTAAGTAATAACATAAGCGTGAATTTATCTAATTGTTATGAAATTATGATATATCATAACACCTATAGAGACAAATGATAATGGTCATATAAACTCAATTTTCCATGATTGTCTCATAATCGTAGAGAGAATACATACACATATGGAAAATATCAATTTCCTATATTGTATGATTCATATCCTGGTACAGAAGATGAACCAGATTTTATTACGAAATATATGTATATTTAAGTTAAGAAAAAGTGATATATTTTACGCGTATTCATTGTTCTTCTTCTTTGTCTTATATGTTTTTATTGAACATATGTAACATATTTCTATCTTAAACTTCTTTTTAAAAATATTAATTATTGTTTTGACAAATTAGATCTCTATTTGAGCATCGTAAGAACATATTATCTTGCATTGATAATGAAGTGTTAAGCATAAAAACAATCATCAATTTTGTTTCAAGTACGAATATTACGTTCATAACAGAGAAAGATTTTTGTCAATTTTCCGTCAACTTGATTTTCTAAGAAAAGAAGGAATAGTCTTTCTATTATGTATGTGTGTGCGTGATTGACAGTAAACCGATCTGTATGTTTATATATATGTATATATATATATATATATGCATAACAAGTTTCTAACAATTAGTTTCGAATGGAAATGTATGTGAACAATGAACAACAACAAGGATATAGAATTACGAAACACTCAGAGTTGTCATAATCATGTGCGATGAAGTTTCAGTAATAGGATTTCTTCTTTTTTTTCTTAATTATATGTTAGCCTTCTTTCGTAGCAAAACGTATACTTTTCGGGCAGTTAAATAACAAATAAGAGATGATTTATAAGAATATTTAAAATACTCATATATTTAAATATTTAACGAAAAATTTTTGTATTGTTTTTAACTAACATCAAAGTTAACTTTAACTGAGAAAAGTTTTTGTTATAATATAAAAATTATCAAATTTATATTATTCATACTTCTTTCTGCTCATATGGATAAGAAAATGTTGAGATTCACCGTAACATAGAATATCCATTTATTTTTTTCTCAAACAATTGTCTACTGGGAGTTCATACAGTGATGTAAAAAAAGAAAATATAAGACTATTTAATTGATAATTCGAATTATTTATGATGGTTGAAGCTTTTCTCTCTCTTTTTCTCCATCGTTCATTCACATAAAATCGCATTGGAAGGTCATGAATAAAAATGAAGATTCATTTTCTCTTTTTTTCTGCTTAATCAAACGTATAAATATACAAAGTATTGTATTGTATTGTCTTGTCTAATCGAATAAGTCTTATTTTTTTGTTGTAAACGAATGCAGGTCGAACGAAGAGAGAGAGAGAAAGAACGTTACAGATCTGCATTTTCTAGATCACCAGTAACGAAGCTAGTCACTCATTTTAATGAAGACTAGAGTATTCAATAATTAAGATATGGCATATAAGAATGACTTAAATATAGATAAATAGCCACAAACACCAATGTTCAATTGTCCGACTTTCTCTCTTCATCTTCTTTATTTATTTGATTAGTATAACCAAATGCATCACTAAACATATTAAAAAATTATCATCTGTCCACTATAATTGAGACTCATTATCAAAATTACCAATGGCTAGACAGAAAAGCAGCGTGTAGCAGTACAAAACACTTTGATATATTAGATAATCAATTGTCCGAGAAGTGCGTGATTGAGAGAATTTTGCTCCTCAGGAGCAATCGTCGTCTGTTAAGCTCTAGTTCTTGATATATTTTATTGTCATTTTCTATTTTGATCACTTGTTAGTGGTTTTTACACTCGTTTATCAAATTTGTTACTTTAAGTATCTTCACATGTTTCCAGTACACACTAGAAACGTAAATCCGTTCTACATTGTCAAATCAAAGTCGAAAAGACGTAAGCTAGAAGCAGATGATGATCTTTTAATACTATGTGTAATGCAATCGATATTGCACAAGCAGCAGCGCTAGTGGTATCAGATATCCAAATAACACGAAATGCTTTATATAGTTCTTCTTGATTTCTTGAAGTTGAGTAGGAATAGCCTGGCGCTACCCCAGATAGTAAAATTAGATCCATCGACAGCTTTTTGGCTTTACCAGTTATAACACCAATATGACGTCATCCGTCCATGTAAAAGTTTTTTGCACACATTTTTCAGTTTTCTGCGTGCTCATGCGTTTTTAAACGCATAAAAGCATTGTTTTAAGCAATGCGTTTAAAAACACATTCGTGTTATGCAATGCTGTGTGAGTACGTTAGTTGATGTCCTTCTTGTAGATTTATGCATTTAAAAATGGGAGGACATGTAGAATATAGTAAAATTGTTAATTGTTTGTTAAACGCGCGAAGTGTTACACTAAATCACTTTTGATCCGCAGGATATATACGTCTTATTACTATTCTTTAGGTATACCTGTTCAAGTTTTGTGTGCTATGTTTTTCTACTTGTGAAGTTTTATTCATTGTTTTACTTCATGTACAAATTGCATGGCTTAACCCTGTTAATACATCTCCAGGGAGCTGATTTATGAATAAGTACGCATCATTGATTAACTAGTAAAAACTTCACCGGCCCTCCGTCATACTCACTTATCTCTTACAAGCATAGATTATAGAATTCTTCTATCATTCTACTATTTATAGCTCATGACTTCTATTGTGATACTTCTAGTCATTTTCTCATTTGATATATGTTTGATCTAGCTCTCTAATTATATACATTATCTCTTGAATATTAAATTAGAAATAAGAAACGACTAGTCGTACATAAACAGAAGAACTTTGTCTTTATTCGCCCACTTTATGTGCTTCAATTAATCGAAAAAAAAATAACAAGCTCTCGATTATTTTTTGAATACTGCGAGAACGAAAAGTGATAGATAGTTGGGACTTTAAGCATTTTGAAGCAAAGACTTTGATGCACCTTTTCATAAAAGAATAAGTTTGAAAATCCTTTTTTAGCGTAGAGTCTTGAAAGGATCTTTGGAAAACCTGTTCATGGCTCAAAAATTTGTAATAGCAGTATATTGGCTTTGTTCAATGGATAGATAGTCTAATGTGTCCTCTATGTAATGGGGCTCAAGCGAGACCTTCATCGTCCATAGTTCAGGCGTGGCATCGGATTTCCTAGAATGCCAAGAATTGATATCTGTAAAGATGAAGATCCTTTCAAACTCTACGCTAAAAAAGGATTTTCAAACTTATTCTTTTATGAAAAGATGCATCATAGTCTTTGCTTCAAAATGCTTAAAGTCCCAACTATCTATCACTTTTCGTTCTCGCAGTATTCAAAAAATAATCGAGAGCTTGTTATTTTTTTTTCGATTAATAGAAGCACATAAAGTGGGCGAATAAAGACAAAGTTCTTCTGTTTGTGTACGACTAGTCGTTTCTTATTTCTAATTTAATATTCAAGAGATAATGTATATAATTAGAGAACTAGATCAAACATATATCAAATGAGAAAATGACTAGAAGTATCACAATAGAAGTCATGAGCTATAAATAGTAGAATGATAGAACAATAAACATTGACTAATATTGGTGCGTTTTTTTTCTTTAGAGGGCACATGAAATGTCTTGGAAATGGTCAATTGGAAATAACTGGTCAATTTCAGCGCAATGACGATTGCTGTTTTCGATTAACTCTTTCATCTAACATAACTGATGACGATGTTCATGATGGCTATGTTTTATCGGGTATATTGGAACTTGGTTCGTTCAAAAATGATTTACAATTAAGTCATTTTGCTGTAGTGTCAATCAATTGTTTGGTACAACAACAACAAAATATGAAACATAATCCGTTATTAAAAACACGCAATTTGCTACTTAGTTGTTTTTGATAAATCACTTATTGTGCAAAACGTTTATCGTTATAGTCATTTTTGTTTTTACTAGTCATTTTACAAGTCTTCTTTTTCATGTATGTGTATATAGTGTTTAACGTTGCTTTTAATAGTTTTCTTTTCTTTTTAACGCATTTTATGATAATTTTTGGTCGTTTCTTACATAAACACACATGATTCGGTAACATTTTTGATAGGTACAAGTATGAGTGGTTCCAAGAATTGTACAACTGATTTTATACATAAGAATAAGTTGACCAAATCAACGATGTTTTCAAAAATCTTTTGTTATTTTTATATTTAGATTTTGTTTTCTTTCCAGATAGTTATGTAGTGTTGCGAGCAAAACAATTTACAGGACTTACCAAAAATATTTTCAAAATACACTTGAAAGACAAGTGAATACAGTTATGTAAGAAAGGACTCATTTCAAAATAGAATGTCATCATAAATGATATTTAATCGACAAATTTATGCTCTATCTAATCATGTTATTAGCAGAAAAAGTCCCATCGAATGTTTTAAAACCTCGAGATTTTCGCCCGATGCGCTGTATCATAGTGGATCTGGAGTTTTAGTTAAAGCATACCACCGTGAAGAAAGAAATAAAGTTCATTTAAAATTGTCGAAAAGTGCTTTTTTTTATTCAGCATAACCCTTAGATGTTCTATGTTTCGCGAGGGGTACTATCAAAAGTTTAGGAAAATTTTTCGAACAAAATGGCGTAAAAAAATTTCCATCGGAAAATAATACTAGTTTCAAAATTTTTCTTAAATCTTTAACGGTACCCTTAGTCAAAAATAGAAAATCTACTGGGTTATCGAGTGTGCTGAATAGGAAAAAGCACTTTTTCACTATTCTAAATGGACTTTATTTTTCTGTCGGTGAGATTCTTTACTACAAAGTGATAAAAATCACTGATTTCTATCACTTTTTAATGTAAGTTATTCGAAAAACAAAAGAATACATTCTGTTTTGAAATAGATACTAATAGTTTCGATAATATATAGTCAAATGTGATAAAGGACGAGTGTCGATAAGAGGCAAAACCTGCCTTCTCTCCGATCAAGCTCATATTCAAACATCTGATGTAGTTTTTCTCTGTGATTAAAACTAACACCTCAAAAAACCCATGTTCACATCTCCCTGGAGAAATTCCGCATCCAACTTTTTCTCCCCTTAAATGAACTATATTTAGAGTATTTTCCCCATTTCTCCTCTTTGCCCAAAGCAAACTTTAACTACTCTATATCATTTGATACGGACTTTCAGGGGCTACAGAATGATATATATAATATTGAGAACAAATGGGGCCTGGGTATCCTAACACTAGAAATATTAGCTCCAACCTCCACAAATCCATAGGTCAACAGCGTTCATCGCTAATATTGTTCAGCCAGTTTATCGTTAACCACTCTACTTGATATATTATTCGATAGAGAATTTCAGGAACTACAAAATGATATATAGGATATACAGAACAAATGGGGCCTGGGCGTCCTAACACTAGAAGTACTACTGTAGAGTGATGTTTTCGGCATCGATGGATAGGCTAAATCCATATAAAACCGTTTACTATTTACATCGGCCTTTGATGTCAGTGACGAGACCTACCTCATATTATAGAGTTCAGCATGCTGAACCGAATGGTGACAATCGCAAGTCTCGAGCCTAGTTAGAAAAAAAGCTACAGCCATTTTACCCTCGCAGCAGAAAAATGCATTTTCGTTATTTTTCGGCGGATTTGGCCTAACTTGTAGAACGTCTGCTGACCACATTCCATAACGTAGAACCTTGATCTGGGTGTCAAATGAAAGAGCGCATCGAGTTCTGTATATTTCGACGGAGAAAAGTTATGCTACACATCGCAGTCTTGAGATAGAGGTTTGTGAAATACCTGATTTTCTAGAAAATCTAGTGATCTTAAAGTTTCTTTCAGAAGCCCTTATTTCCACGACACGTCAATTTTTTTTAAGAAATCCTGTATAAGAGAGATATATTTTGATTCAGATTTCTTTGTCCCGAAACTAATGTTGTCATAGAGTAGACTGGGGTAATTATAACCAGCACAAACTTTTTCTCAGGATTTTGCGAATGGCACAGCCATTTTTAGTCGGAGAAAAATGGTATTACAGAGGTAGATGCATATGACTTTCAGCCATCCACTGATGTAAAAATTGTCTGAAAATTCATTACTGTTAATTAGTGCCATTCAATTTTCAGTGCTTTGCTTTTAACTGATTATAATTCCCTCATTTGGGGTAATTATAATCAGTACAGCAAAAATGGGAGTTTGAGCTTTATCTATCTGATGCCAGTCAATCGGTTTTAACGTTAATTACTTAATGAGAAATTAGTAAAATTAAAAGAAACAATCGTTTTTGAAAAACTTTTTTTGTCCCCGACTGACATGGTTTCAGGCGAAAACGTTTGGTCTTTGAAGGTATTTCCTAAATATGACAGTCTATTTTCAGTCGTCTTTTGTGCAGATTTCTATGACAGAAAGATGAGATTTTGAGGAATTTGATAGTCTGAACGTTTTCTTTTTCAGTCTACTGCTCCGAGAGCCTGATCAGTCAGATACTTTACTTCTGATATTTAAAAAGTTAAGAAAAAGTCCTGGATATGTTTTTAAGATTACTTCTCACTCGTTTTATGCGACATTTGCATATGTGATAGAGTTTAGGGTTCTGAATAACTTTGCCATTTGGCTTACTATCAAAATCAGCTTCTGAGAGACGGTGAAAGTTGTGTTTTGTTTATTCCGTATGATTTGCACGAAGTGGTTATAATTACTTCAGTTCGCGTATATCGAAAAAAAATGATTGTTTCTTTTGATTTTACTAATTTCTTATTAAATAACTAACGTTAAGACCGATTGACTGGCATCAGATAGATAAAGCTCAAAATGCTCTACAAGCTGGGCTACTTTGGAATTGAAAAAGGAGAAGTTCACCGTTGAATCAAAGTTGATTTACATCATCCCAGTCATTTTTGCCATGCTACATACACATTTTGTAAAAAGAATGGTCTAAAGGAAAAGAAAATCACTTTTATGAATCAAAAGACACACACAGTCTTTCAAAAGAAAACCAGCGACATTTATCGATATAAGAATGTTTGAGACCCGCTCCTCTATGAACAAGTTATTTACATTTCACAGTTATGCGTTGTAATCGTTTCTGTCATCGTATCTAAACTAAAGATAATCTTTTCATGTTGTACGCCTTCACTACCGTCCGTACATTTAACTGCTTGTTCACACAACAAACTAAATTGATTCCATGTCTTTATATCATCTAACGAAGATATGTTGAATTGATTTAATAACATTTTCAACGTTAAATTAAATTGTTCTATATGCCGAAATATATATTGTAATACATCATCTTTGTTTGCTGCTCTCAGTTGATATATAGATTTATTTTGCTCACTTTGATACATATTGTATTTGTACGAGTTAGCCTCTTGTTCTTGTAAGTGAATACACGGATATTTGAATTGAATTGATAATTTAAATAGTTGATTTCCATCATTTACTTCAATAATACGGCCATCATATTTGTTTGTATCAATTTCTTTGATTGAATGCCAGTAGTGTTCACCGCATGAACAACTTTCATTCGATTGTTCGTATTCTTCGAGTGTTCGCTGTTCCATCTGTTGGATAGCATAAGGTGGGTGTATAACTTCTTCCGTTTCATCACCGTCATCATAGAAATCTGGTGTTATTCGATAACCATAGAGTGTAACGTAGACGTGTGCCTGGTGAAGTGAAAGTGCACGTAGAAAATAGTGTTTTATATTATAATCAAAACGATGTTCTTCAGTTCGGTTGGCGTGTGCTAGCTGGAATAACAGTGGAGCTGGTGAAGACATTTTTTTCCTTTTTGAGTTACTGCAAAAAGTTTCTGTGATAAATAGGAATGAATAGAACTTACCTTTTGATTGTGTAATTTCATAGATACTGTGTTCTATACTGAATAACAGATAAAAGAAAGGTGAGACAGAACGAAAGAAAGAAGGACTAATGACAAAGAACTTCGTAAATTTCAGATTTATATACTTCGGAGTTTGTCGCTAGTCTTCTTTAATGCGTGCAAAATACCCATGCTCTGTGCTCACACCATGTGAGAAATTGATCCAACTAGTGTTAAAAAGTTTTTCCGTGTCGATTTTTAGCATCTGATTCGCGATGATCATAATGTTTCACAAACGGCCGCTACACTGCACTTCGCGCAAGTCGCGCCGAGATTGCGATTTATAGCCTCTATTGCTACGTGGGCGCTATACACCCTTGAAGTCTTGACGCGATCTCGATCAAACCTTAAAAAGATTTGAAAACGATTGTGTCGAGAGTAATCGTCATAGAATGCAGTTAGTTTTGGATGATCGTAAGATAATAGAGATTGCCAAACCCGCATCTTATTCTGTGATTCTTGATAGCGACCGTGCTAAGCGCTCGGTACGCTATTTTTTTAGCAGGACTGACACCGCGATTTTAGACGGAACGTTGACTTGACCTAACATAAATTCTATTTTGTTTTAGTCGTTCTCATTCCCGTTATATTTTCGCACTCCTCTGTTACTGCATCTAAACATGTCACAGGTGCAGTACTGTAACTGTTAAAGACTGCTGGCAAAAAATATGCTCAGTAAGGTTATCAAAATACTTTATTCTATGTAGATTTTAATACTCATTCCGCTAATTACATTGACCAACTAGATGTGTGCTTCCATGTGTCTGAACGCCAGTTTTTCCGCTTCAATTGTGTCTTTAACTTTAAAATGACGTTGGTTAGATTCGTAATCCTCATGAAAATCTGTACCGAATAAAGAATTTTCAGAACATTTCTGAGAAAACTTTTGTCAACAGTTTTCTGCAGTTACAGTTTTAACTACAACTATGACATACCTAACTGCATCCGCCTACTACGCATCCGTATAAACGGTTGCAGTTAAGCTTTTTGTGCTACATTACACGAAAGTGTGTAAAGCAGGTAGTTACAAATACTTCAAAAGATGTATGTAGCGCAAATCTTCATCTATCCTGTTCACATATATTCCTTTCTCACTGTTTATACGATCATCCACTTTGATATCAGGCAAGGATGTTGATACGATTCTTTATTGAGTCAACTTCTATCAGAAGCTATTTAGTGTGTATGCAATTTGTACTGTGAGATTCAGATTATCTTCGTATTATTGTGATTTGTTTTACGTTATTAATGCGGTGGGAAGTAGAAACCGTATTCTAGTGATAAACTGCGTCTTTAATGCGATGAGAAGCAGCATAAAACCGCATTACAGTAGACAGTTAGTTATAATGATAGATTGACAGCAGCCGACCAAAAAACATCGAAAATATTTGTAAATATGTATAAGACATATACAGTCTCGACGAGACGGGATAGGTTCGAAAATTTTTATGACGAAATGCTCACGAGACGAAACAGGATAAGAGCTGTTTCTTCAAAACTATAGTCACTTGCGCCCTGTCGAATAATTATAGTCTGTCATGGCTATGATTTAGAGACTAATGATTGTGTTGAATATAATCCACTTTATTTTTGGCAACAACAGACGCAGTTGAAATTACTGTTACTTACAAGAGTTGTACGTCGTATATTTTCTATTCCAGCAGTAAGTGCTGCTGTTGAACGTTTATTTAGCGCATCTGGAAATTTAATTACACCAATTCGAGCAAATTTAGATCCTGACACAGTCAACAACTTAATATTTATCAGATGAGCTACGAAACAAACAAACATTGTTCAACAAGTCGAAGAACGTTTAAAATACGAACAAAAACAGCGAATTAAACATGAACGCAGATTAAATCGGAATAAATAGAATGTTATTTCCTTTTTATCCTGTCAAATATAAACTTTATTTATTTCATAGAGTATGGTATCAGAAATAATAAATAAAAAATAGTATGGGACGGGACGGGATAGGTTTTAGAAAATTTCTGGCGAGACGGGATGGGACGCGACGTCAAAAAAGCTTGTCCCGCACAACTCTGGAAAAGGGATGATGATGTTGTGAAACGAGTACTCGATAGTTTAAGTAAGAATCTGGGCTTGCTGACGAGTTCAGAAACTAGAGGTAACGAAATTGTTCTACTATGAATCTTGATAATTTGAGGTTCTCTCACGTCTTGTAACTCAAAAAAAAAGAAAGCTGATATTAGCTATAACATTTTATTCGCCATTAAAAACTACTGATATAATTCACATCACTTGCTCTAACTTCCTAACATATTTTATCTTAAAGTTGCGTACATAACTTCACAAGAAGTCAAAATAAATAAAATTCTTCATGAGACAATCAATATCCAAGATTATGTGAAACGTCATTATGCCCGAGAAGAAAATTTTAAATCTAAATGGTTATATAACATCATCTAGTAATCATTCTAATATTAGTAGTTTTCTACGCTAATAAATTTTTCAAAAGCAGACTCTTCAGTGTAATGAATTTTGAGACGTTTCCGGAACGTCACTGAAATTCAAATTTTGCACAAATGTTCTTCCACATATAATACATATTCTCCACTTAGAGTAAGCTGGGGTAATTATAGCCAGGCACAAACTTTTCTATTTCGTTTCTTATTAACTCTTCGCTTACAAAAGACTGAAGGGTAGAAATATTGTAAGTGATAAAAACCTTTTGCTGACGGCTGAAGCAAAGCAGTTCGACATCGCAGCGCAGTTGATCTCTACTTTATTTCTTCCGCTCTTGCTCAAAAATTGTAACCTCATGATCTCAAGAATACAACAAGTAGAATATAACATAGTGAAAGTCTTTTGACAGAGCAATGTGTGCCTATCGCGACGGTATATCGCATACAATTTAAGACTGTTTTTAATCATAGGTAAGAATCTAGTGTGATAACGCTGATCACAATTAGAAACCAAACCGTACTTAAGAGCAGCAAATAAATATTTAAAGTGCGTTAAAATCGGTTCAATTTTTGTCGGTAAAGTAAAATTGGTTACTTTGATTACTAAAATAAAAAATTCGAAAATACTGTAATATTTAGCTTGCGATTTTAGTTCTTGTTCTGTTCTACTTTCAACATACAATAACTATGATTAGAAGATAGTCATTATAGTTAAAGCCATCTTGATGCTTTGCCATAATTAAATCGATAATCTTTACAATCTGAAGTTTTTCATCCAACTCAATCATTAATAATCATTTTATTTCGTCTCAGTTTACAAAAAAAAACATGCATTATATATATGTGTGCACAATGATTAATTGAGTTTACAAAAAAAAAGAAAATGTGACATAAACAAACAAAAGTTAAGCAAAAACACGATATGAGTTAACGGTTCCTTCAATTAGAATTCAGATAGGAGGAACGCAGGTGATACTGTTGTTCTGCTAGCTAAGACGGAAGACAACGTTTATATCCTTAACACGCTTTAGTTTTAATGGAGAAGAGAGAAAAAGAAAAAAACACACAAATGTCTTGTCATATTTCCACAAGTATTGTTGATATATAACTGGATATATATCACTATTTGACTAGAATATTATATATAATCAGAAAAATTGATTCATTGATTTTATTAAGGTGGAGTGAACAGAAATTAAAATAGAACAAAACGACAAACATGCAAGGAATGTGTTGTTTGCCTATGAGTGAATGGGTAGGTATACCAACCGTTTTGTGTCCAAAATCTAGATGTATGTAAAGTCATGAGACAGAGAGAAAAAGGCAGAACGTGAGATTGCACATGTAAACTTGTTTCAATTAAACGAAAAGCGAAAAAAAAACAAAGACAATATACTAACAACATCAAAAAGAAAACAAATGAAAAAGTGTGACTAGATGACAAATCGATGAGTCATTTTGTCTTTTTGTAATGGCGAGGTCGTTGACTGTTGTACTAAGATACCTGTAGAAGATGTAGGAGAGGCTATGGTTGATTGTATATTATCCATTAAATATGCAGTAGATGGTGGTGATATCTGAGTTGAAAGAGGAACATCATCTTTAAATGTTATTATATTCGACACTGAAGCGGCGGTTATCGTTGTTTGCTGCTGAGGTACGGTAGTAACAGATAAAGATGGTGAAAATAATGGATGTTGTAGTTGAGGTGGACTGGTCAATGATACATTTGAACATGACGATAAAGACGATATAGAACTATCTTTACTGGCATCTGAAAAAAACAGAGTACATTTAAATTTTATTGTGAACTACTAACGAGGGGACCTCGCGAATTGTCACATCGTTTTTTCAGTTAAACCTAGTGGTTTATAGGTTATCAACTATGCTGAATCCGACTATCATAGTGGTAGCTGTCCAGGGGTCTTCAGAGAGCGGTTTTCTGGAAAACCAGTTTTTCAGAAACAAGAAAAAGAATAACCAAAACCTTTCTTAACCAGGCATGATTGTAGCCTGCAAATTTCTGATTAAAATGAGACATCTCCCAGCTCTACCTGATCTTTCTTTGAAAAGTTATAGAATTTACAAAAAAAGCCCTAAATGTTCATTGTCAGCTCAAAGATGCAGAAATAAGAAATTAATTTAGGGCTTTTCTTGTAAATTCTATAACTTTGCAAAGAAAGATCATGTAGAACTGGGAGATGTCCGACATTTGCGTGCTACAATCACGCCTCATTAAGAAAGGTTTTGGTTACTTTTTAGAGTTCTTGAAAAACTGGTTTCCCAGAAAACCGCTCTCTGAAGGCTCCTGGGCAGCTACCACTATGATATTCGGATTCAGCATAGTTGATAACCTATAACCCACTAGATTTGACTGAAAAAGTGATGTGACAGTTCGCGAGGTCTCCCCATAAGACCAAAATCGAGAGAGAAACAATACACAAAACTCATCGATCAGTATAGCTTTCAGATGTGCGAAAGTGCGAAAAGCAGTTACTTACTAATAGAAACTGATGATGTTCCATTATTGTTATGAGCAAAAGATGGTACGCTTGTTCTGTTTGATGTTGTTGTTGTTGTAACATTAGTTGTATTAGTAATCGGTGTTGTAGTTACTAGTAAATTAATATTACTTAAATGTCCGCCTGTAATATAATCTTTATCTACGGGTCTTCGTTGTTGCTGTTTTGTTAAACGTTCTTTACTTGTAAGAAATAATATTTGAATTTCTTCACATAACTTTTTGAAACGCCTTGCTTGACCTATAACAGAAAAGTATAATGTATGCAATTATGAATGATTTTCATCGAAGAGATATACACAATACCCGTGATAAGTGTAAATGTAACATAATAACTGTCATTTGTTAATACATCATTTGCTTTCACTGTACATATTTCAACATGAAATCGAATATTACGTTGAAACATTGACGAACGATCTTGTCGACGATATTCACAACGAAATTGTGTGCCAGATAAAACATTATGAACAAGATCAGGTGTCTAAATAGTTGAATTATTATTTAAAAAAATATTGTGATTTCTCTTACAAATCAACATACGGAGAGAAATGCATGTATAAGATCTGTTTTAATTGTGGCTAATGGTCGATCTTTAACAACAATCATATGATGATCTTCTTGCATAGCGTCTATAATATGATGAAATAAAGACTTTTTTGTGGCTTCAGGTGTTACACCATGTTGTGGCGGTGATGTCTGAGTTGAATTTGAACTATCACTTTCAACTACTAAAAAAGTAAAGTAAAAAACAAATCATATTTTATTTCAACATGATCTCAGTCAAGTTTAAATTGGTACGATAACTCTTTTCTGATTTAAATAAACATCTTGTCATTGAATAGTGTTGAAAATAAAATGAGTTTTAAGATACATACTTGGAATTTTAGGTCGTCTATGAAATCTCGGTGTACCAACACTTTGAAAACTTTGTTTTAAATTATTTAATTTGTGTCTCCATTGATTACTATTTGGTGTTTGTGGAGTTGTTGGTTGACTATTTATACTCTGATTACTAGTGATCGGTATGTGAGGCGATAAAATATTGCTATTATTATTATTTGACGGTGATAAAATATTATTATTGGATGACTGTTGCTGAATAGGTGAAGTGGTTGCGGTTAATAATTGATTTTCATTATTATACTGTTGCTGTTGTAATGGTGATGTATGATTCATTTGAACTGGATTTGATGTTGTCGATGTTGACGTATTATGAACAGATAATTGACGTTGTTGATGAAAATGAGAATGATAGGAATGATTCTTTGTTGCACCATTATTAATTATAGTTGAACTTGATGATGCTGATGAGGATGGAGTAGCGGATGTTGGGGAAACATAAGAAGCAATGGAATAGGGATGCTGATCGGTTAAAGAATTATTTTGCGCTGAATTACGATGATGTGAAGGATGATCAGTTTTGACAACATAATTTGTTAATTTTGTAAATGTCATCTCCTTTTTCGGAACTGTGGGAGATGAACAAGGACTCACAGAAGGAGTATTATTCGCTGAACAATGTTTGATTCTAAAAATACGAAAAAAAATAATTAAAATTTCTCAATCCAAATTGATGTTCGTTCAATTAGCAAAAATAAACCTGTAGCATAAGACGAAAACAAAGAAGTTTATCAACGGTCTAGTTAGAGTGAAATGGGTACTTTTCGTGTATTCATTTGAACACTGAACAGAGAGACATTGATCAAACATTGAGTTGAAGCAGTAAGAAATATTCAAATGTGTGAAGCATAATTTACATAAATTTTGAGCTCATACTTTATCGGTTCTATTTGACGTTTTGAACGTTTCAAGAAATTTGAGCCTCGCTTTTAGCTGCTTATCCAGAAAACTTCAACCTCGTATCAATTGCGAGAGTGCAATTGAGAATTCTTCTTCTAGAATCAGCAGCAGAAAAAAACAATACTTGTCACAAATGGATATTTCGCAAAAAAAAACACCAAGACAAAATGCGTTTCTCTTTTTCGTTTGCTAAATACTATCATTCAGACCGTTTGAGAATGAATCAAAAGGAAATAGATAGAGAAAACTAGTCTATTTATAGAGAGAAATATCAAATCTTCACTATTCTAAACTTATATAGCGCGTTTTTGATATAACTCTGACGAGGCAGTCGGAATTTTAGTAAAAAATAACGAAGACATTTTTCTGAGTAACTGTGTAACTGTCTTTACTATGATGTGTATGACAGTTTAGTACACTTTTATATTACTATCGGATCTTTTCTTTATTCTGTCTTAAAAATATTACAAATTTGCAGATAAAATAACTAGATTTTCATTCTGATATTAATATCTACTACATTGGTCACTCTTGATATTAATACTGTGGATTTCATCGTTGTCTCTGGAGCAACAAATTCTTCGGTTTTTCTATTCATAAAACAGTGCTGAATGAACGCTCACATCTATTTGTTCGTAGTGGAAATATACATAGGATAACATATTATCCCTATGTGATATTAGTTCTGTTGAGGCTATTTTTTTCTTCACTTCTATGACATCGTGTATACTTTTTATCACTAGATTGAACAATAAATTCGCACTCTGAATAACTACGTTTAACTCACGCAAATCGATTTACTCAGCAGCAGTACTTAATTATTTATTAAAAAATTTTTAAATTATCTGAGTTTTCGTTACTCAATTTTTCTGAGTGATGTTTTTAAAAGTCTCGAATCGAAATCTCGACTTACATGCTGGAATGTAATTGTCGTCTTGGTACCAATGGTGATCCTTCTGCTAATTGACCGATATTTGGACGAATATTCGGACTCATATTTGAATTACCACCATTAAATCGATAGCGATCAACACGCTTTTGTGGCATATCAGCTTTAAAAGAGAAAAATACATGTATTTTCTAATAATATATAAATAGGGGAATGGAAATGGACGTGTCGAATGGTTCTTTCTAATTGTACTATTCTAACTGCGAGAAGGAATGGAAACACACTGAGAATACTCACAATGCCAAATATATGAAGCAATAGTAAATATATTTCTGACTATTTAAGAACAAAATTAGTTTTTTTCAATAAAAACGACTAATTTTTCTATCTTTTTTTTCTTACGTGATGTTGAACGACTTCGTGATTTAATGTCATCGGTATCGTCCATACTTGGTTGTCTTAATTTTCGATCAAGTAATAAGAAATATATTACTTTTTCTGTATTATGTCTAAAATTAAAATGTGTTGATATAAATAAGCAATGATGCACCCACCAATGGTGACCATACTTTGAGTTTAATAATGAATCAATTAAACGTTGTCGATCTTTGAAACAACCTAATGATGTCATTGCTCCAAACACATCTGGGTCGATATCTTCTTCTTTTGGAATTATTGTTGTCTAAAATAGATATTAAAAAGTTTTTTCATCTGATAAACCATAATGTATTATTACTTACTTGAACGACTTGAACCATCGGTAATTCGAGCTCAAGTTCAGCTTTTGTCCCTCTAAAATTAGAGAAAAACAAAAAATTTAAACAAATAATACAACGAAAAGTAAACAAATGTTATCGATTTCCAGGGCGTAACAACAACAATAACAACAGTAACAACAATGAACAAAGGCATGCAACAACAAAACTAAGTAATAGTCAAAATATTCATTGAAAAAGACTGCTACACAAACAGTTCCTATTACTTGTTTTCACATAATAGCGTCTCAATATAAACATGCTTTGAGCATAAGGTCACAAGATTAAGAAAGTTATCACATGCATACTGAAGTACAATAATACGAACAATCCCATTAGACTTGATAAAAATCATGCAACTATCATCTTTTCACTACGAACCATCGTTAGATCGAAAATATTAGAGCATAAAATCTCCTACACCAATCTACCTGTGATGCGGTTGATTTTCTTTTTTACTCGAGCGCTGTTTGTTATATCTATACAGATTTTAAAAAAGCAAACATGGCAATATTGACTATTCTTATACATTCTCATCTTTTTTCGTTGTTTCAAAAAAAACTATCCCCACTGTTTCAATAATAACAAGTGTAAATAAACATTTACCTATGTTATTATTGAAACATTATGTGTTTTTTTTCTCGTTTGAAATGATCTAATCGAGAGGGAACAACAAAAAAAGCTAACAAACAAGAAACACAATGACAAACATTGACGATGATGTGGACGTTGATGACGATGATGATACATTTGTATTATTGTTATTAATAATTTTTCTCGGCACTATTATTTTTTGCTGACATCGAACAACATTACTATTCTGATGATTACTGTGATTATTATTTTCACAATTTGTTACGTACTGTGTCACCCAGTTGTGTTTTGAAACCTCTTCAAGCTGGAAAAATGTCATATTAGTAAGAAAAGTAGATGAGAATAAAAATAAAACAGCAAAAATAAATAAGCAAAGTTTTGTATCTTTCCAGCAGCAGTAATCAGGCGGTTAGATCAAAGCGGCCACAATGGGAAAGCTTATTGATACATTAATGCAGTCAATTATTTATTTGGTAAATGCGCCTTATCACAAAATAACGTCTTTTCACTTAATTCTACTCTCTTCTTCTAAGTATGAGTCTGTTAAAAAGAATATATTGTCTCAATCACTTACCGTTAAACGTTTGTTTGGATCAATTTCAATCATTCCACGTAAAAGTTGTTGACAGTCTGGCGGAACAAAATGTGGAATATGAAAAACGCCTTTTTTCACTTTTTCTAACAACTGACGAAGATTATCATCGTCAAACGGTAATGCGCCCTGTTGAAACAAAGAGAAAAAACACCAATAATAGTCATATTTGTATATTAGAACAAAAAAATTCAATTATACCACTAAAAGGGCATACAGGATAACACCACACGACCAAACATCAGCTTTTCGTCCATCATATTTTTCTCCCTATATAAAATAATCCAAAATATTCATAGACAATTCTATAAAAAATTGATAAAATGTCAGTTCTACTAAAAGTGTAGTACAGTTGTCCTTTTGTTTATGTAAGATATTCTCTACGTTGAATGTAAAGAGTATAAGGACTAACAAAAACAAAACAGTTTTCTTCTCTGCTGTATATCTGCTAACACTGATTTACTTTCTAATGAAAAATTTGGAAAGCGTGATAAAACAGGAGAACTTTCATGTGAAAAAGATTATAAATTATAATTTAAATGTTACCTTAATTACTTCTGGACAAGCTGTTAAAATGTTATCGGACAAAATTAAAAAAATAAAAATAAAGCATGAAACAAATTATAGAGGTTAGTATAAATAGTAATGATCTATTATACTGAATAAAAGTTAATTACCGTAATGAGGAGAGCCACAACTTGTTTCTAAAAATGAACCTTCAACTTGTAATGATGCCATACCAAAGTCAGCAACACGAATATTCATTTTATCATCGAGTAAAAGATTTTCTGGTTTTAAATCACGATGACTAAAATAAAAATGTTGAATAATTTTAAAATTAAATATCACAAGATTCTAATTGTTATTTTATGTAAATATAACAATTTTTATTTTAAAAAAAAATTCAATTTTGTACCATATCATATGACTATGACAAAAATCCAGTGCCGATATTATTTGACGAAAAAATTTTCGTGCTTCTTTTGGTGTCAATCGTCCTTTTTTAACAAGATAATCAAATAATTCTCCACCAGCAACATGTTCTAATATTAAATATCTAAAAATCAAAAAGAAAAATTTTTATCTTAATTTCATAAATTCGTATAAAATCATTTTTTTCGTACGTACAAATATTTTCGACTTTCATAAACATCATACAATCTTAATACATGAGGATGTTCAATTAATTTCATAATGGCTATTTCACGTTCGACCTAAACAAAAAACCGGTAAAAACAATATTATCATTTTCCTTGTTAAAATAGAATATTTAGTATCAATAATCTATTTACCTTCATGAGAACTGATTCTGATAATGCTTCACGGTTAACTATTTTGATTGCTACTTTTTCATTTGTCAAATAATGTATACCTAATTTCACAAGGCCTTGAAACAAAAATAAAACAGAATAATAAATTTATTTTTAAAGTTATAGAGAGAAAAAAGTTTAAAGAGTTCTTACCAGTTTGTCCTTTTCCTAAAGTTTTTTGTAACAGATATGGGCCAACGTATTGTGATGTACGTGGTGGCGTTTGTCCACTAGATTTAACAAACGACATTTTGAACTGAACTACTATCAGAAAGAAAACAAAATATCAGATTTTATTTAAAAAAAAATAAAATTTAAAAATCAAACCTTAAACAATATCAGCTGTTTAGAGTTTCTAATAATGAATATCGTTGAAGAGAATGTTGAAATTTAAACATTCTTTTTTCTGACCATGATAGAAAACGATTCGATTGACTGTTATAACGCACACCAAACTTCAGGACATAATCTTTAAAAAAAAAGAAAAAAACGTCATAAATTATTAACAGTTACTGAACAGCTGAAAACAAAAAAACGTTTCTACGCATGATTTCTCTCATCTTAGCATAGTCAATTATAACAGTAGAACCAGATTTTCGACTGATTTTACATGCTTAATATTTTTATATAAGTTTAGTTTGTTAATATTAATTAATTTTATTTATTTATTCATTTTTTCTTTTCATTTTTAAGTTGTCGAAGTTTTATTTTCGAATAAATTTTAGACAGTAGCCATTTCTTTCTAATTAGCAAAAAAAATTCAGTCAGTCAAAGGTTAAATTATAAATATTTATTAGTTTTCTGATGAATAGAAAGTGCTATGAACAGTCTTGGTTAAAACATTTTTCTATTAAAATTTTTAGTGCATTGATGTGTCAAAAAAAAATTATATATATTTACTTAAAATTTTATTATTCTTTTAACTTTAAAAATCTTAATAAAAATTCTCTCAATAAAAATAAATTTAAATTTAGCTTAAAATTATAATTGTAACAATTCATTATGTTTTTTGGCCTCTTCATTGATGAGTCCACTTAACATCGACAAACAGGAAAATTCTTTCCGATATCAGTTGCTGTATTTTACGTCGTACATACGCTCAGGTCTAGGTAGAAAGGACATTCTACACATACACTATATTCGTACGTGCTCGTATTATATTCATATAATTTTTTTTGTACTATTTTTTTTTCGCATGAAAAAAAACTCACAAAAAATTTAAAAACAAGTTATTACCATTTTATTACACATTTTTTTTTTCGTTTATTTTGAATTGAACAATATGTTTAACATTTGTTTTAACAATTAACAGATAGAAACAGAATAATTACCAAAAGAAAATTAATTGGTATTGAATCAAAAGTTGTTGAAGTTATGCTAAAAGTATGTGGAGATATTATTTTCTTTTCTTCACTTTGATTCAACTTCAGGGAACTTATTCATTATGATCCCAGCAAGCCATATAAAAAAATTGATACATTTCATTCACGTTAATAAATAACTTTGTGGAAATATAATAGAAACATTGACTGACGTGATGATTTAAAATAAGTGTCATATGAGCATTTAGGCTATGACATCCACCTTTACCGGATTCTGATCAGTCTCATAAATTCTTTTAGTTAGATAATAATACTGTATACTGTCTCAATAGAAAATTGATGTTATAGTGATGTATAGAGCTAATCGTCACTTAAGTATTTCGTTTTCGAATGTAAAATCTTTGTCTTCTGTTGTATGATGGAAAAAAAACTGACTTATTCTACCTCGATTACACTATTTTCTGTTACTCGAGTCTACGAATCGTACATTTGGAAGTGTTCAGCAGAATCGTTCTTCATATCTGCCTGCATGTGCGCTATCCATCTTGTACAAGTCTTCTTTCCAATATCGTATTTTTTCTTTGTCCTATTTTTAGATGATATCTCTCATTCCACATAAAACCGCGTTCAATTGTTAGTTAATTGTTCGAAAATATAAATAAGAAAAACATACAAAAATGGTGCTAGAACACGAATACGGTTGTAATACACAAAATCGTTTTCTTGATTTTGTTGATCATGATGAAGATCCTGAAGTGTTCGTATCAAAAGTGTCAGCGGGTGAAAAAGAAAATAAGAAGACAAAAGATGCAAAAAAACCAATAAATAAAAAAAGTACAACTAGTTCAACAACAACAATAAAATCTACCACAACGACAACAACTGGCTTTGTGGGCAAAGAAAATGTCAGTGGGAAAAATACCGATACAAAAAAAACAACAATTGTCAAACCCATATTTAGTGATAATAATAATAAACAACAGTCGCAACAACGTGAAGGTGGCAATGTTGATCAACAGCAACGGCGGCCACAAAGTGGTCAACAGAATGAAAATCGTAGTACGTCCTTTCTCTCTTTGATGTTGATTTTCGTGTCATGTCTTTATTTATCTATTTTAAAAGGTCGCGGAACTGGTCCAAGACGAGGTGGCAACGATCGTTCATCATATGAAGGTCGAGAACATTTTCAACAAAATGAAGGAAATTTTCAACGAGCAAGTGGTGGTCAACGTTACGTGAGATTTAATCGAGATAATAATCAATCGCAAGGAACACAACAATCTGGAGCCGATACTAGCGGCTTTCTTGGTGATGATTCTCAATGGAGAGAAAGCGAAACACAATCTAATGATCAGCATCAACAGCGCGATAATTTTGGCGGTGGCAGGGGCGAATTTCGAGGTCGCGGACGTGGTCGCGGTAATTTTGAAGGGCGAGGTAGGCACGGTTTATTCAGCCAATGGGATGTTTACTTAGGAATAACAGATAACTGTAGAATGTTCGATTAAGTCAGTCATTTTCTGCTCATACGTTCAGCAAGAAGAATTCTTATTTTAGCCAGATCTTTGCCTAACTCTTCCAATATTTCTTTTAAAAGGTTTTGAGAATTATTTGACCTTTATTCTAGCAAAAGTGTAATAACTTCACCGAAAAATGCATTTTATTTTATTTATAAACAGTGTTTTGAGAAAAATGAAGTAGTAGCTGATCAAGCGTATACATTAAGCTAATTTTATCATTATTATGATTTGTTATACTGATAATTTCGCTTTCTGTTTAGGTCGCGGCAATTATGAAGGAAGAGGAAATTTCGAAGGCCGTAGTAGAGGCCGTGGTAGAGGAAATCCTCGATTTAATTATGATGAAGGTCAGCAGCAACAGACTCAACAGCAAGGAGAAAGTACTCTCGTAGGGTAAGTAAGATTGTTGAAACTAGATGTGAATCAACTATTTCTGATTATTGTTTGGAGAAAATTTCTATAATGCTGTTATTAAGAATCTTCAGGCTTTCAAAACGTCTCATTTTGTAGAGAAATGTTTGTTATATACACGAAAAAAATAAAAATAAACAAGTAAAAAAGAGAATTTTTTTAAACGAATGATTGAAGAGAATAGACAATATAACTAATGGTCGTTTATCGTTCAAAAATCTTCTGTGACATTTTGAAATACTCAGATTTTTGCCATAACTATCTTTATTAAATTTATTTTCGTCACTTATATAGAAAACATTTTTCTGTAAAATGAAATGTTCCACAAATCTTAGTGATTCTTGATAGCACTTTAGCACTTTTTCTTGATGTCTCATTCCTAGTTATATAACACGTGCATGTTTAGTTGAAACAAATACTTCAAGTATTGTCTTATTTGATGATTTATTTCATTTTTAGAGAAACTTTTGAAACAGAACGCCCACAAGGCGGTGAAGGCGAAGAAAATTTGCACGAAAAACCATTTGAAAGTGATGGAGGTATGTGAAGTTTTCATTAGTTGAAAACATGTTGCTAAAATATTTTTATTTCAGGTTTTCAACGTCGTGGTCGAAACAATTATCGTGGAAGAGGTCAAAATTTCCGTGGAAATCGTGTTATACGAAACGTAAGTAAATGTTCGCATTATAAGATAACTGTTTCTTGAAATTAAAATATATCTGCGTAAGAAACTAGAAATTTTCAGGATTAGAAATTGTTAAGGGAATTGTTGCTGTATACTTTTTACAAATATCTGCTTTTATTAATTTGTTTCGAAAGTATTAGAAAGTTTTTCACATTTTTACTTGTTTACATCGTTAACATGTTTCTCATTGTTTTTTTAGACAGAGTTTGGTGGTGGCGGAGGTGGTTATTTCGAAAAACCGACTGAAGGTGACGATTCGACTAACAATTATCGTACACATCGACAATATGATCGTCGCCCACGAAACGAAGTTAGGTATGTAATTTTAAAATGATTTTATCTTTTCTATATTGTTTATTTTTTCGAATAGACATGTTTTTCATTTTCTTCAGTGAGAAATGTTTTGTTAGAACAAAGAACGAGAGTATAGTCATTCTGAAAAGGACGTTTTTGTTATACTAGACTATAGTTTTATTATTTGAAATCTTGAAACAATTGTATATACATCGTAGCATCATTCGTTCTCTACTTTAATTGCGGTTCGCCACCGTATAATTTTGTTTAGCCTCGTTCGTATTCATTGTGAATACTTGCTTTTCTTTTTAGTGGTATCAAACCACTAGAAAAACGAGACGGTGGTGGTGCTCACAATTGGGGTAAACAAGAGGATCAAATTCCTGATGAACAAGAAATTACCGAGTAAGTGGGTGTACGTCATAGTTTCAGTTGTAGGAACAATATCTGATGCATATTTTTCTGCGTTTAGTGAAACAGGTGATGCATCTCGTACAGTAGCGAAAAAGGTTGATTGGTCCGAACAGGTTGATCAGGAAGAACAACAACGTGAGGCTGAACAAATGACACTAGACGAATATAAAAAGCAACAAGAATTAAAAAAGAAACAAAATAGTGTTGTACAACCACATTTTAATATTCGTCAAGCTGGCGAAGGAGAAGATCCAAAAGTGTGGCAACAACCAGGCAAAATATATAGTAAGTTCATTCATGTTTTGATTCTTGTGACTAAATCACTGTATGTATATTGAATTCTTAGGGAAAAAAGAATTAGATAATGATGAAGAAAACGAAGATGAGGATGATGATGATGAAGCGATCGAAGATGAAGATGAAGCCGAGGAAGAAGGTCAAGATGAAGAAAGCGAGCAAAAACTACATGAAGAAAAGAAAACACCACAAATTCAAATCAAGTTTTATGGTACATCTTAGATATCAGAATTGTTGATATTTTATTTTATTTTGCTTTTTTCTAGAACCTGCAATGCGTGGTGGTCCGCGTAGACCATTTAGCGATAGAAGAGGTGGTGAACGACGATCAGAAGGTGGACGTGGTGGTCCTTATCGAGATAATAACCAGAGAAGAAATTATTCTCAACAACCACAAGATGAAAATGCAGCTGAATCATCCCAACAACCAGGTGATGATGAACAACGGCAACAATATCGTAATGAAGGTGATTCGTCATATCCAAGAGGTGGCAGAAGTTATCGAGGAAATGATAATTATCAAAGTAAGTGAATAATATCAAGAGAACAAACATATAGCATTTTGTCTGAAAATAGCGGGATAGATGAACTTATCAGATAAAATATTTAAGCATAAAAAGTAGTTTAAGCTATGCTACTTAGATTCATAAGGATCAGAACCTGATTTATTTATTAGAAACTCTATTAAGTTATTTCATTATTCCCTTTGAAAAATATGAATAGAGATATTTTGAAGTTTAGATCATTTTCTAATCATTTTAACTAGTTTTCTATATAATATAATGCACGTTCAATTCTTTCTTTAAAGAACGACAACGTGATGATTATGGTCAGCAACAACGCGGCTATGGCCCTCGTGGCGGTGGTGGTGGTTATCGTGGAACTGGTCAGGGATCGCGAGAAGGACGTACAAATGAAAATCGTAATTTTACATCGTCCAATGAAGAAGATTTTCCAACATTAAAATCAACTTAGAAGACTTATTTACTGGACTTATGCTAGTATTAAACACGTAATTTACAATTCGTATTTTTTCCATTGGTTACTTTCAATTAATAGCGCAAAAAAAAAAATCATATTAAAAAAACTTGTTTGTTTAGTTTTTCTTTGTCAAAAAAGTCCTCCACTGTTAAAACTTCTTTTTCACTGTCTGTTTTTCTTTATACACACCTTTTTTAGAAAAATTCTATTACACATGAATTTGTTCTTTCTTTCTTTCTTTCTTCTATAAGACGAAAAGTCGTTTCGAACACTTTGTTTATTACAAAAGCAACAACTACTTTCTTCTCTGTATGTGTGTGCTACCTTCTGTTTTTCTTCGGTATCTTTCTGCAGGTCTCTTCGTATCTTCAAAAATAAAAATTGCCACCATTCTGAAAGTAGTAATAAACAATTATTTCTTGTAGAACAGTTTAGTATGAGTAAAAACTGAATTATTGAGCAGTTGTTTTATTCGGTTTTCTGTTTTTGCATTTTGTATGAGAACGTGAGTGCACGCTGTTTTCATGTTATTTCTTCTCTTTGTTATATGCAAAGCAGTCTCTTTTTTTTTTGTTTGATTTTTGAACCTGGTGAAATGAAGAGAAACAGACAGGAGCGCACACTGTGTTTTTTTTTTCTAGGTATTTTTTGTTTGAAAAATAAACAATGTTAAAGATATTGTTTGTTTATTTTTTTCTTTTTATAATTGTTTGACTTTTTTTTTGCTTGTTCTGTTTTTCATTCATTGTAAGTGGAACATTCAAATGAGAAACGTACTTTTTTTCTACGTTCTCATATTGTGACGCTATAACGTTAAGACAAATTTATTCATACTAGTTTTCTCGTTTTTCTTGTTCGTATCCTAATTGTTCATCTTTTTGTGTCCTTATAAAAATCAAACACAAAAGAGAGAAAAAAAAATTTATAAATGGATGTATAAGAGGACATTAGTTTTAAATTAAGAGTAAGTTGAAAGTGCACTTCACCGATGATGAATAAATATCAAGCTCAACAGACATGAAACAATTGTGTGTGATAACCATTATAAACCTCTGAGGAGAAGTGCATCAAAAGAAATTGATTTTGTTTAATTTTTTTTACATTCCAGCAAGAATATAAAGTGTTTCTAGTTCGATTATTCATGCGAATATTAAATGTTGAATTTTGTACTGATACTCGAGAAATTAAGAGCTAAACAAGACTGAGAATTTGTAACGTTACTTCACAGACATTGACACTTAGTATACGATAGAAATGAGTTAGTTTATCTTTGAAGGAGTAGACTGTTTGCTAGATATGTTCATGCTTGAATAGATGGCCCATAGATAAAAACCATTATGAAAATAAGGAAATCATTCAAATATTATTCAGAAAGTATCTGAAATCTTTGTTGGTGTGTTACCTAGTATTTTATTGATTTTTTCAATTTTTGTAAGTATGATACACAAACATTTCATTAGTGCATAGAGTTTCGATTTATATCAAATCATTTCCAATTTAAAAAAGACCAAAATCTGTTTGAATGTCAAATAAATTGATACAAAAATAGTCATACTTTCAATGAAATCTGGACAATAGTGAAACATGCATGGAACTCTGTAAAATGTTTTTTACATTAATTATCTCAAGATGTAAATCAATTTTGTTTGTATCTTTAGGAAAAATTCACGTTCATATTATACGTAAGCGAGCTCTCTTCTCGTTCTTGTCATCAATCACTGCGTATCAAGCATTCTCTAAAAACATCTCCACTTTTCCAACTGAAAATACTTTTGTACATTTAACTGTTGTAAAACTCGCCCACTTATTACAAATATGAATTACATTTGCAAAAATATAATAGGAATAAAGTTTTAATTTATGAATGAAGAGAAGGATTGTTATCAAATGAATTCTATATTTTTTAATTTTTTATCTCACCTTTTGAAAGCAACATCATGAAAATTACACTGTTTAACCTTTTGATCATTTATTTTTGAGTTTTTCAAATGACTGAAGTACTTTTGGATATGCTGATAAGAGAATTTGATAAAAAGAATGTTGTTAATAAAACCTGTATTTTTCAATGTAATTCAATAGATAATTTATTGGCTAAAGTGACGACTAACCAATACAATTGATATCCCAGATTTCTAAGTTGCAACCGAACGATCGCCGGAAGGCAACATAATCCATAAGTGTTTGCGTAACAGCAAAACGATATATCATCATCGTTCGTAGCGTGCAAATATTTCTGTTTTAAGTGCAAAATAGATTGAAACAACAGGAGCAGCGCGCACAAGCAGCAGCATTTTCTTTTATGAGCGGTGCGAATGAATATATGTGTAGTGTGTGTGCGTATGTGTGTGTGTGCATACTGTATGAACGAATAAAACCTGTTCGATGAACGTTTAGTTAGCTGTGTTACTCTACTATGCAGGAAAAAAAAGTCAGGGTACAGCAGCAAAGAAGTAAGAGTGTAAAGACGAAAATGTAGAGTAAAGCAATGAAACAATTGACTGAAAAATTTTGTATATGCGTTGGTGTAAGCATGAGCAACAATAGAAAATGAAGAGAAAAAAACATGCAACCAAAAGAAACTATTTGTAATATAGCACCACACAAGCATTTCATGCTAAAGAGCGTTATGAGCAAAATCACACGACAAGCTACTTATTGAAAATAGAAACAGAAACGGTTACAGGACGAGGAAAACATAGCTAATTCGTTGTTGATAATTTTGGTATTTCACCACCTTTGCTGTTCGATAAAATTAATGTTGATTGAACAAATGGACGATTATTTGAGAAGCAGAAGAAAAAGAAAAGATAAAGTACACAAAAAATGTACATGATAGCCTAACAATTCACTTAACGAATTACAACCTATTAAAAGATTTTGCAGATATGGATCGTCAAACCTTGATATTTTATATTCTTTAATTGTACACATCGTACTTTTAAAATATTAGCTCGTCTTATTGGAAATAGGAAATTTTTTGAGAAAGTAGATCATTTTTGAGCTGTTATGGTGTTCTAACGACACGATACGTTCGTCCACGAGCCTACTCTAGTCATAATGATTAATCTGGGAAAGAGGAGACTCATTTATCAATGTTGGTAGTGCCAGATAAGATTAGATGCCGACAGAAAAGCTGGTTGTAAACCGAATTATACGGAAATATTTTAGCCATGCAGTGTGCAAAAAACGAATTGTTATTGCTAAATGTACAGAATAGACAGCGATAGTGTGTCTGATATGTGAGGAACACAACTAGCGGTCATGCATGATAAGAAAAAAAACTGATCTGTGATCACAAAAAGCACACATCATTTATGTTGAAGAAGAAAAAAAAAAACGATAGCACAGCAGAAAGAGAGAAAACGAAAACTGAAAAGGTAATAGCGTGCACAATTTACTACAATGATTCTATTGAGCGTTAAACAAAAAAACAAACAAACAACGAGCATAGCAGAAGTTAAAAGCGCGAGCTCTAGTAAAAAAACAGCATTCTCTTTTTTTTTCCATCCATTTCATATAGGTATTTGTCATTTCTTAAAGTTTTATTTACCTATCCGAGATACAACAATTAAAAAAAAAATGAAAGAAAACGGACCAATGTAAATAACAAGAAACTCACAAAACAAAAACAGAACTATTCATCAGAGTATTTAAAAATGACAAATAAATTATTAATGAAGAAATACGTGTTGTTATTGTTGTTGTTGTTTTTTGTTTGTTATCTTTTGTATAGACAAAAACAAATGAATAAACGCGTGTCTCTGGAATTTAGCACCAGTATAATCCGTGTGCAAAAAAAAAAGATACGAGATCTATATAGCACTTAAACATATTGTATGTGTGAGTATTACACAAAGAGAACAGAAATATACGATCTCTCAATTTGTTAAATTATATAAAAAAAATATATAAAATAAAAAACAAAAGAAAAGAAAAAAAACAACCAAACATAGTTTTCACAGAGAACAAACGAGGAAATTATTCACAATTCAGAACACTGTTTCTTATGTTGCCAAGATTAACAATACAAAAACAAAACAAAAAAAAGAAAGAAAACGTTAGGAGTTAGAATAGAAACTATTGCGATTTTTGTTTGTTTTGATCATTTTAATAGTTTTTGCTAGAAGATTTTTGATCATTAGTGGTGGAGAGTAGAATTAATTTTAGTGCGCGGAATGCTGCTGTCCCTTTTAAACCGGAAAGGAAAGCTATTGCATCAACGACAAATAAAATCGCACAAAAGTTAGGCTAAATGACGAACGATACAAAAGAAAAATAACGAAGAGAAACTCGACAATTATTGACTACAATTTAAATGTATTATTACACTGTCCTGTTTGTATGTAATTGAGTGAGTTAATATTTACTTAAACATATTCCGAAATACTGTTCTCATCGAAGAAGAAGAAGAGAAAACAAAAAGAAGAAAGAAAAAAATGTATATAGTTTAGGAAATAAAAATAATGAACAGAAACTAGGAATGTAGTTAAAAAGAGAAAGACAGACATAAATTTTGTATGACTAGTTTTAACATACATACACAAGAATTAAATGATATATATACGCCACAACGATGTTAATCTTAGGAATGCAGATGATTCTCACCGGAATAAAAATCAACTCTCCACGACCTTTCTAATGCGTATGCTGCTTTGCGAACTGCTCTTCATATAAAACGAGGTTTTTTGAATGTTTGTGTATTATATTATGAATTAGAGATGTACGAACAACAAAAAGTACCTTCTCCTTCTTCTTCTTCTGTAATTTCTCATTTTCTCTTTTTTTTGAAGAAAACAAAAAAACAGAAAATAGATGGAAAACAATCATGTATGCTTGAAAGTTCAGCAGCATCACAGATTGTGGGCAATTCTTCAGACCAGTTGTGTGTACATGTGAATAAAAACACAAAAACAAAAAATAGGGATGGCAAAACAACAAGAAAGACAAAAATCTCAATACGTAAACAAATGACGTAAAGACAAACTTATAATGTT